TATCAAAGGAGTAAGAATTCTAGTCTGTTTCCTTTGTCTATTTCAAAACAAGCTCTTTGAGTCTTTAAATCTACCATAAAATTCCACTGTCAGTTACCATCAGTGCACACAGCTAAATGTGCAGACCTTTACGAGGAAAATGCATGTATTGCAGAAGCAAAACAGAGGTCTGCCATGTACAATATTCTATTAGTTTTTCTTAATTGCTTTGGCATTTTTCTCTGATCAAACATACAGCCATACACTAAAGTTAACTTGCAAAATGCTTTCTCCAAACCTTTTCATCTGTTAAAATTAAGGTTTTGTGGATTAAAAGTTCCTTAAATATGTTGTCAGATTTGCATCAGTATATTCAAATTTCCATGTTTTCACTACCATTTAATGTACTTTACAAGACAAGAGTCATTTGTATAAGAAAAAACAACTTTTGATGTGTACCAACAAAAACTACATTGTGCAATTGTGTGTTTCAGTAGCAAAACAGTGCTGGAAATGACTGTTCTCCTTTGCAGTTTAACATGAAAGCGAACTACCATGCAAGCCAGAACTACCTGCGGCACTCTTCTTCATCACCCTCTGCCATATATCCTTACAGATGAAGCTTTCAAAACACTATGCAACTTTCTCCAAGACAGTTTCTTACTTGAATACATCAGACAGTGATTTTCTCCTAATTTGAATGCAGAAGCTTAGACAGGACTCAGTGAAATTTTCCCTTTTCCACTGCAAATATATTCTCCACATATTAATTCATTTTAGTCTAGAAGCTGGATTTAATGTTTTATAAGATGATTTTTTTAAATCAAGGTGCAGATGTGGGGAATTGTATCCTGACTAGATGTGTTAAAGGAATATTAAAACAGTTGTGTGAAAAAAAAGTCTCATAAAACATTCAATCCAACAGTTTTTCAAAATGCTACCAATAATGCATCATGACAACAGAATGGATTCTTAATGAAAAAATACATTAGAAAGTCCAAGTATTCTATAATAATGACCTAATGCACAGTGACATCGCAATGGGTCATTTCTTTTGTTTGCACAGAAGTCAAGGGCACAGTCTAGCTGTACACTGCACAACACATGAGATGTGTGATGCCAGATTGGCGTGGTCAACTATATTATCGTCCAACATCTGTCTCCCCACTACACATACCATAGCTGCATGCCTAGTCAGTCACTGAATGTAAGCGGTCGGTTTGGAGTAGCAGTCACATTAAGATTAGACAGTCAAATGTCTTAAATTAGATATATTACATTAAATTGTGTAAAAATGCAAACTACTAGATTAATGTAATGCCTTCCTTGAAATCCCTTGATCTTTTCCTTTGTTTGCTTGTTTTTGTTTGTTGCTATCTAATTATGTATCACGAATGCTAGCTAATTATTTCTTTTGAAAATGTAAGGACAACCTTGTATGTCAACATGTGTGATGTGATTTGTTGGGCAGAGACTACCAAGATCCAATCAAAGAAAATGCCGTCAAAACATTAAAAAAAAAACACACTAACACACCAAAAGCCACTTCGAATTTTTACACAATATAGATTTCAACCATTAAAACAGAAGACTACCTAATAGTTTGCTATTACATTCTTACCTCAGTCTATGTAAAAAGGAAATTCAGTTGTCAACTTACTATGAAAGCCAGAAAATTGTATTTAGTCTGTGATTTTATGGCTGAAGAAGCAGACAAGACTGCTGTATAGCAAACATATGGACTATGGCATACTATTTAGGAAATTATTGGACAGGATTGAACACAGTATTTAGTTCTGTCTGGCAAAGGAAAGACAAAGGTCTTTCAATAGGCAGTCTGTGAATAATTTCATTTCTTCAACATTCACTTCACATATTTTAACTTTCCATATGTTCATCACAAATATATTTAACTTCATAAAACATATATTTTCAATATACGTCTTGTTTATGATTGGATCTTCTTGCATCTAAACTAGTTTATGCTTTCAGTTTATATTGTTTGGCAAAACAATCATCTGGCAAAAGGGACAGTGTGAGTTAAATTACAGCAAATATCTACAAAACAGCCCGAATCATTTTATTTAGTAATCGCTCTTCTTACCTGAGAAACTGATTTGAAGTATATTCCTCAGCATTCAAATGGTGGAATAATCTCTTAAAATGAATGGCCAACAGGGATGATCCTCATGACTGCTCAAACTCTTTCACTACAGAATTGTTTGCTTCTCCAGAAAGGAAAGGGGCACTTTCCTCTTTTGAAGGAAACTCCTGATAATTTCCTTCCTCTGTACGACAATAACAACTGCATTCAAGCAACCAGGTCCCATCCTGTGTTTAAAGCAAAGCTTTCACAAAGCCCTTTTCAATAAGAGGCGTCTGTTACGTTTGTGTTGATGAAATTTAATGTGTCATAGATTTTTAACTGTAACATATTACAATTATTATATAAAACCATTAAACATGGTATTTTTGTGAATTACCAGTAAATTTTAAGTATTTATAGTATATATTTATAAATATTGTATTTCTAATCTCATTAAATAAAATAGTCAGATATAAAAAAAAAAAAAAGGTTTAAAACATCTTGCAATAACGCAAGTCCTCGTGATTTCATTACAAAAGCGCAAGTCAAAAGTGTTTTGAAGAATAATCAGTATCAGTGATGTTGTATTTTAACTCAACCACTGGGGGGTGTAATCACATTTTAGTTTTATATGGCCATACTCAATATCATAGAGGTTAATGATTTAATATTAGCCAAAATTTAAGACTGGTCTCCATAAGATATAAACCACAAGGTTAAAAGTAAGTAAGTCTTACTGGGTGAGGATGTGGGTAATTATAGAGGCTACAAACCCAGAAACATGGGGTAAAGTACATCAGTAGTGAAATAGATACTTGGTTTTACCCCACAAGTTCACTTGCAGTGTTTCAGTACAGTGTTGAGCTATTTTAAAGTGTTAAATATAAAGATGGAAAAAATTCTTCATTAGTCATATTTTTTCATTATTAATTATTAATAAAACTGTATATAATTCCATTTTTGTCGCTAGATGATTATTAATCCTTTATTTATCCAGGTAAAAAATCTCATTGAGATTAAAAATCTCATTTCCAAGAGAGACCTGGCAAGATGATAAATATGGCATTGGGATTTGAACTCTTTGAACAAATGCTACTTCCAGATGATAATACATGTTAGCATAATAGATCACTACCAGCGTCAACATATGTTACAGTGTTGTAGCTGTGTTTGCTTTGTTAAGGTGTGCTGCATAAGTTAGTATAATTGTTTTTGTTTCTTGTTTTTTGCTTTTTGTTTTTTTGTTTTTTTTTGGGGGGGGGAAGCTTTTTTTAAAGGAAAATAGGGAAAAAGACCCCTAAAAGTAAAACCTCAGTATTTTTTGCTTGTTTGTTTGTTTTTGGTGTTTTATGAAACATAGTTGAGGCAGGTAAGGAGCTTTTAAGTAAAACAGTTTTATTTTATTTTATTATATATTTCTGCTTTCTGTACAATCCATAGTATCACAAACAGTGATACAGGTCTGCAATTATTTACTTTTTTCATTAATGCAAAAGGCCTTTGGTTTTGTTGAAGAGTAAATGTGTGTACTTTGGTAAGCTTCATTTTGAGAATAACTCCAAACTAATAATAAAAATTGAAGACACATTACAGACCTTCTGAATTTGAATTAAGAACTCTGGAGTCAGGTATAAATTTGTTGTGTTTTGTTTTTACATCAATTTTTTGAAAAGCTCATCATTTTTACTAAAGATATTATTTTTTTGCGGGTCATATTTAAAATTTTAATTAAAATAAAAATAAAAAAAAGTTTGAAATATTTGAATTTATATATAACGGATATAAAACAAATAAAAGTCTTTGTCACATGCATAGTTATACAAGTATAACACACAGTGAAATGTAACCTGACACGCTCCTCAACATGTGCAAAAATGGGGGGGGTAGAGGAAGAACATTATATATATAGTATATATATGTGCTAATCTGTTGACTCTCCCTCAGCTGGTCGACACAATGCAATTTAAATTAACAGAGTTGGCAAAAGCCAATATAAACTAAATGTGACAGGAGGCATTTGGTGCAAAACCCTCCATTATTTAAAAAAAAAAAAACTACTGTTAACAAAATAATGAAACTAAGCTTCCACTTCAGCAACTTATCAGTGACATAGGTGTTTTTATAATTATGTGTATTTGTGTGTAATTATTATCCAGCCCTAACTATATGCTTTAGCAAAAAGGAAAGTTTTAAGCCTAATCTAGTAGAGATAGTGTCTGTCTCCCAAATCCAAACTGGAAACTTGTTCCATAGAAGTGATGCCTGAAAACTGAAGGCTCTGCCTCCCATTCTTCTTTTAAATACTCTAGGAACAACAGTGCGAGAGCGAAGTGCTCTAATGGGGTGATACAGTACTATAAGGTCATTCAGATAAGATGGGGCTTGATTATTCAAGACCTTGTATGTGAGGAGCAGGATTTTGTAATAATAATTATGTGACTGAGTAAAAGTTGACATCTCCTTTTTTAAATAGCAGAACTGCTTTAATACCCCAACAAAACTGGTGATCTGTCAGACCTGTGAACGCTGGGTGAGTAACAAAAAGATACAGAGCCCTACGAAGATAAGAATTTCAGTTGTTAGCTTTTCCAATGAAGTATATAAGCAAGTTAAGATATTACATATCTGTAAAAACTACTCTCTGTTTCATTATATTTTATTCTCCCTTATTATGACTTTTTTTATTATAATGATTAAACAAACACTATTAGAAATATATTTTCTGTGTGTGTCTTTCTGTGTGGAGTTTGCATGTTCTCCCCATGTTTGTGTGGGTTCAATCCAGGTACTCCGACTTCCTCCCATAGTCCAAAGACATGCCGTTAGCAGGGTTAGGTTAATTGATGATTCTAAATTGCCCATACGTGTGAATGGTTGTGTTACCCTAAATAGCAACATATACTGATTTTCTTTTAAAACACTTTGAATTCAAAAAGTTTTTTTATTTAGTTTATTTGGTAGATTGCACACAAAAAAATAGACCCAAATAATGATCTCTCTTGCATCTAGTCAATACTATTTCTTTGTCTATCAACAAAGAATTTGTATGCAAACAAATTAACATCAAGGGGGTACTATTTGTGACACTTAATGCAAGCATATGGTGTGTATACAAAGAGAGAGAGTGACAGAATGAAATAAAATCATTAAACAGACCATTAATGAGTGACAATAACACATGATTAGGAAAGAGATCCTGTTTAAAATAACTGAACCAAATGAATATTTGTGTTAAACGGCAAATTTAAGCAAATACATTTTGTTTAAAATGAACAGAACACTACTGACAGCACTTGAAAATGTAAAAACAGTTACAGTATTGGTATATACATTATCACTCTTTACAATGTGTTATAAAAAGGCATCTTTACTTACTGATTATATATTATTAAAGTTTGAAAATAAAATCACTCCCTACTTAAAAAGGTAACTGTATTTGAGTGAATAAACAACATTTTAATCTTTAAAAAAAAAAAAAACATATAGGTTCTGTGCAATAGACCCCTGGACACAAATATACCACAACCATTCATTAACATTTATTTAATAGAATGAAAAAGAACACAGTGAGAAAACCCTGTAACAAACTATTGGTGTGAGATGGCATATATTTATTAAATCTGGACTATATACAAAAAACAATATTTATTATTACAAATTAATCTTATTTACAGTTTGAAGGGATTTTAAACAATCTCATGCACTTCTGTTTGATTACTAAAAGATATTCATAATTAACCACACTGAGATGATTGTGCATGTCTCCTTAGGTTTTAAAGAAACAAAGAGCAATTTTCAATATTAGGAGAATACATTTGGTTGTAATTGAGGTTTTAATTTGTCTCTTTATCACTTTGTGGGTGAAACTGATAGCTCAACTTTGGGGAACCTCAAACCACCTCTTGAACCACTATCACTGCTAGAGGATGAAGACAATCTTGATTTTTTAGCAGGTAGCGAAACACCTGCACTCCCCTCCATTCGTGCTTCACTGTCATCTCCCAGTGTCACTTCATATGAGCCCTTTGACTTTGAACCAAAACCTCCAAAAGTACCAAACTTAAGCTTGCCTTTCTTTCCCTTTACCTTGCTTCCGAGATCTAAAGAAATGTCACCACCTTCAGCCTCTAATTGAGCTGAAGGAGAACTAACTCCCCCCTCATCACTGAAAGAGGAAGATCGATGTCTTGATTTCTTAAAAAGATCAAGTGAGGCTGATTTGCCTTTAGTTGACAAACCCAGTCCAGGATCACCCTCTAATTCTATTTTTCCACCCATCATTTCCCCAGAATGTACACTTAGCTCTTTAGAGGTCTTACCTGCTTTTCCACTGCTACTTAATTCTGCCTCTGATCCGTGAAGGTCACCTACACTACTGCCCTTCGCTTTTGATTTGCCAAAAAGTTTTGGCATCTTTACCTTAACTTTGCCTTCCTGTCTCAGCTCTGGACTGGGAACCTCAATATTTTGAGAACTGACTTGGCAACTAATAGATGGAGATTCTGTCTTGATGTCTACACTAGCTGCAGGTTCTGATTCAATATTTCCTCCACTTTCTTTGGTTTCCACCTGTGGCAACACAATGCCAAACTTTGGCATTGTGATTTTGGTAAATGTGACTTTACCCTCTGGGTACTGAAGGCCACCACTTGCACTTCCTCCTGAAGCACTTGCGTTTATTTCTGAATCAGTCCCGCTTTGCATTTTAATATTAGAAGATTTTACTTTCATGTTTGACCCTTCCAAGTTAACATTTGCACTATGACTGCCAGAGCCATCAATGGCAGATAAAGATCCTTCTCCTTTTAGTTTTGGTGATTTTATATCTAATTCTACATCAGGAAAATGAAGCTTTCCAAACCGAGATTTCTTTGTTTTTGTTCCTTTAGCATAACTGTTTGTTATGTCTGCATTGATTTCTGTTGCTGGTGTTTCTATGTCAACATCAGGTTTCTTTGCCTTTCCTTTAACTTTTGGAAGTTTAAATTTTCCTTTTTTCCCCTTTACATTGATGTCAATATCAGCGGCATCAACACTTGCGTCAGTGTCTGGGAAACTAACTTCTGTTTTGAGACTTTTTGGTGCTGTACTGGGCATCTTGATATTGGATTTAGACTCTTCGAGAACTGGGGTTTTCATTGCAAACTTAGGACCTTTAAACTTAGGAAAGGTAACAGCAGTCTTTTCATCATCATTAGAGATGTTAGCAGTTTTTACATTGATATCGGCCTTGGGAAGGTGTATGTCAGCATCTGGATCCTCAACTTTTGGACCTTTCAAACCAAAAGATGGCATTTTAATACTGGGCATATTAAGTGCACTTTTGGGTCCTTGAATGTCAATCTCTGGACCTTTGATATCCA